ATGCGTTTCTCATCTGATAATGTTCCTTGACTGAAGTAGCAACGAGCTAAAATATTAGATACGTAGTACTCAGTACACGAGGGTGAACAGGACTGGTAGACAGGATTGTTCTAAATCTAGTAGTATTGAACACGACTATACAACATGCTCAAGACATTTAGAGAATGAACTGGCACGAGATGCCGTGGTCACGGGGGCCACACATGCCGTCTGCAGGGGACTGGAGGATGGCCTCCTGGCCGTTATATTTGATGCTCGCACCGTCAAGGTTGGTCGAGTCCGAGTTGCAGCCGTTGCCATCAATGACCGTGAGCGTATGCTTGAGACCGGTGTCGCCGGTGCCAAAGCTGGTCTGACTGGCGTCGCAGTTAGACTCGAGGACGCCAGCCTGGTCCCAGTCGCCGTCGTTGGCGGGGCGGCAGACGCGGACCTGCGGGGCGGCCTTGGTTAGTCAATGGCCCATTGTTTTGGAGGAGGAGGGTTACGTACCCAAGGCTTTCCGGTCTCGGTGTCGCGGATGGAGGTGTAATGGACAACAAATTTGCCCGGGGTAGGGGGGAAGGCATTCTGGTCGCTGTTACAGTCGAAGAGGTCGGCCGCAGATTGGCGGGCAAAGATCAAGAGGCCAGCAGCGATGGAGGCAGTGATGAGGTGCATGTCGCGTAAGTTGTAGATGAAAAGACAAAGAAGTGATTTGTGTTATGGGTAGTGAGGAGAGGAGATGGGTTGTGGACAGAATCACTCGACCCTTTTATACCTTGTTCATAGCCATCTTTCTCTTAAGAGGATGGGAGTCGGATTGGAGTGTGAAGCACAGCTCGCTGATGGGCTTCAGTAAGGCTCCAACTACCATTATTTATAAATGGAAAATTGTTTTCATTTACCCGAGGCCTCATAAACTATAAACAAATGTTTATTAACGGCTTAAGAGGTTAGCTGGCATTGCCTGCTAACTCTAGCCCCCTCGATCGCCTGAGCTATTGCTTCTGAGGTATTTCTAAATGGTACTCGAGAACCTATGTGGGCTCAAGAAATCACTGTATGTGTACTTCTTTTCGACGAGGATGCAAAGTACAGGTTGGCGGAAGTGATGGTTAATTATGTTTGTGGCCAAGTGAAGCCCAAGCGAGGCCGGGCCCAGTGTGGGGTATCTCGGATATGCCCATAAATTGGTGCAGATCGACACGCAGGGTTTTATTAAACCGTGGGAAAGCTTGTGATCTGGCCGAGATATTCATGTGGACTCACTCTCAGCGCAGTTGAAAGAATTATAAACCAACCGTTTCCGTTTTGTTTCTGGACATCCACTGGAACAAATGAAAAATAAATGGTTGGAGCCTTGTTTCACCTTGTCGTCTCAACCAGACTCGTAATCATCTCGTGCCATTGTTAATAGAGATGTTGCGATGCAGCCATCAGAGCCACGCAATGGCTTTACGACGTTGCGGGAGTCCCAGGTGTGGAGCCACCCATTGGCTCAATGCTATAAGCCCATCAGGTGGCTCCAATGGGTGCATCGCAAAGTAGCGAATGTATAGCCTCAATGGCTGTCCAACTCTACCGGGACTCGGGAGATCATCATTACCATTTTGTCGTCGTCCAGGCAAGTGGACTTGATTCTTGTTCCCGACGCGGGCGTTTCCTAATAACCGGATTCATCAGGTACGCCGCCTGGCACAACGTCCCACAAAGAATCCACGAAGGATTCCACTCTGGTGCTCGAAACACAAAAGTTTGAAGCCAGGTGCAGGTTCATGTGTGAAATCCTCAATCTCCACCAACGAGTACCACAAGCCGACGGCGCTGACAGAATCCTGCCATCTTCCTCGCTCGGCATCCACGGCTGGTCCAGACTTGGATTAGTGTCGGTGGGGGGTTGTGGATTTTTTTGGGGCGGTCTTTTCTTCCGTTGCGCGCCTTCATTTCTTCGTTTTGGTCGCTGCATGCATGTCTTCTTGCGTCCGTCGCCTTCGGGGCGTGCGTTACGTCCCATAATCCTCCCTTCATAGTCCACCCGGTCCATTTCAGACACCATTGTGTGGGCGGGCGCTTGTGCTCACTCGTACTCCCTGCTCCGGACCGCCGATCAGTGGCCGTTCTGAACATAAGCTCTTCGAACTGCCGAACCCTTACAACCCAATTGCATACAGCCGCAAGTGAGCTCAGAAGGAAAATAATTGCAGACAGATTGGCTATACATGCATAACATGGAGGAAATCTGACATTTAAACGAGTAGATTATATACAATTTGAGTGTCGATCCGTCATGAAATGTAAGAACACATGATAAACGACTGCACATTTATATCAGTTAACCGAGGACCCGGCAGTTGCACGCGAAGCGCACTCAATGGGATGTTCGGAAATGGATGGATTTGACGGATGGGAAGGCCGCACGGTACTTTGCCTTGGATAGGCTGGCATGGCTCACATGGAGGGATTTGAGGCGACATTGCGATCTGGAAAGGAACGAGGTGATGGTGGAAATGGCATTAGCTCCGAGTTGGCGTTCCGAAACTGCAAGCGATCGCAGGGCCGGTGCGGTGAGCGCGTCAAGAACCAACTCCTGAGCGTTTCTATAACGGTCCGGACGCGAGAAATCATCTACGAATGATAGTGTTTTCAAACACATCAGAGGTGGTAAATCATCGGGAATTTCATCCTCGCTCCGGATGTGGATGGCCTTGAACTCCACAAGAGATGTGGCAGCTCTCAAGATATCCTCAACTGCTAGGGGATCGTACCCAGACACATGGATTCTTATAAGCTGTGCCCAAGGCAGGGTAACGGAGGTAGAAGAATACCCCCCAAGCCTCGCACTGGTCAAATTCGGCGCATTCCGGAATGGTGTGTGGGGGCCAGTCCACAGCCCTATTCGAGGTGGTTGCAAATCAAAATGACGCAAAAGGGGGAAGTCGTTGGCAGAGTCGCCAATCAAAGCAAAAACTGCTTCAGGAAGTGCCAAGCGGATGTATTCCCAACGCTTAGAGTGAGAGAGGATGGCGCGGACAAAATCAGGGAGGAGGGAAGGCTCTGAGTGTGGGTATTCGGTCGACCCATATTCCAGGCATATAGACAGAGGGAGGTCGCCCGACCGTCCCAGCCAAGTTTGGAGAAGATGCAGGAGTGCATTCGAGGTAGAAGTGGTCCCTAGTTGCAATTGCATGGATTTCCAAAGCCGCGGGCTGTCGAGGGCTATGTCCCGCCATTTCCGACAAATCTGCCCCAAAATAGTAGGGGAAACAAGGCCGGTGAGCTGAGGACGGGTGGGGTAGTCGGGGATAAAGTGCCCAAATATAATCGATGTGATTTCGGTGGGTAGCGAGAGAATAGGGTATTTGTAGCCGTTGAGACGTGTGTGCAAGTTCTGCCGCCTCCGACGTGCAGTAGAGAGAGATTTTTCGAGAGCGAGAATATGGGAGCCCATGTCTGCGATCTGAGCACGGGTCTCTGCGAGCATCGGCTGCGTCAGCTCAGGCTCCAAGTCGGGGGAGCTGGTGGGCACGAAGGCGGGCTCCATTATGTGGCTATGGCAGAGATGAAATGAGGCAGATGCACCGTCGAACACAATAGCTTTTTACCTTTTGAGATCCTCAGGACAGATGCAAGTTCGTGGTTGGTGGCAAGGGTCGGTGGCACAGAGACAAAGATTGTTTATTCCTGTAGTATTTGACCTGGCACCGGCAACTCCGGCAACCCACGTGAACGTGTCTCTCAGATCTCTGTCCTCTTTCTCGCATCCACAACGCATCCATGCTACTTGTTCCGTTCCATAATATCTCTTATTGATGTATGGATTATTATATTGAGGGACTCGATAGATAAACCTCTCCAAACGGGGTTTCCTATCAATGATGCCGCCATCCGCTCACAATTAATTATTACATAAATATGCCTTACATCACAGTCCTCGTTTTTCGTATAAAGATATGTGTGAAAGGCCCTGAATGTAGTTTAGATACTGTATATAAGCTTCACAGAATTTCTATGCACGAATGAACTCTGGCAAAAGAGAGGCAATATTTCAATCATAGAACTGTACTACAATTGATACTGGCACGATTGCCATCCCCTGGATGTCGCCGGAAATATTAGGCAACATTATTGGGATCCTGCCTTATCTTCTAGCATAGTCCCCAGATTTTTCTAATCCCAAGGGCGAGTGCAGGACACTTGCCGAGATCAGTTGAATTCCTCTGATCCTATCACAAGGATGGTATGCCTTACTCCAGCCTTATTCTTCAGTCAGAACCGGCACGCGGCAGGTAAATATGTTCACAGAAATATATATCAGTAGCGCTGGAATATTTGGAGCATGCAGAGCGGCATATACAGCGAGGGACTTGAATATGCATACACAAACTATGCGGCATTTCCTCCTGGACAAAATTCGTCGGCAATGACTGGCTAAGAACCAGCAACACAAACGGATAATGCTTTTGCAGACTAGGTTTCATTATTCCAAACACTCAAAAAAAAAACAGATTTCGCCATTAGATCTTCGTACCCTATTCACTGCGTTCAACGGGTCCCTAAAACCGTAAAAGTGTAGAACCTCTGAACGCAGTGATTCCTCAGCTGGTGTACCGCGAAATCTTGAGTTATAAGGGAAAAAAACTCACAAATGAAGTTGAACAACCGAACAAAATAACCTCGATTCGAACGAGGGACTTCCGCATAATGAGTATGTACATCACAAAGTGCAGTGGACGCGATGCCAGGTTCGCTATTAGATTTTCCTCCCCTTTACTTTCCCTTGGATAGGTGTCTGCTTTTTGGGTGGGTTGAATAAAAGCTCGAGAGGCTGAGTAATGACCTAACCTCGATCCAACCGAGGGACTTCCACACAATTGAAATGCGTGCACCAGGTGCAGTGGATGTGATGCCAATTTGCTGTTAGGCCTTCCTTGCCGTTACTTGCCCTTGGTCAGGTGTGTGATTGGTTGGACCTTTTTGTGTGGGGTGAAGGAAAAAGAACATGTTAGACGACTCAGACCTCACAACCTAACCTCGGTTCGAACGAGGGACTTCCACATATCCCCTAATTCTCGATGATACCAAATGTGGATACGATGCCGACTTCACTATTAGGTCTTCTTCCTGTCTACCTCAACTGTGAGTGCTGCGAAATTATTTCAGGCTTTTTGTTTGGGGTGAATGAAGGAAAAAATGGACATCGATTCAGACGATGACCTAACCTCGGTTCGATAGGACTTCCACCGAAATGGGGATGCGATGCCGGCTTCGCTGTCTTGTTCCTATAGACTAGGGCAAAATCATTTTGGGCCCTTCAGTGCGGAGTAAAAAAAAATCAATACCACCATTACTGTATTATTTCAATCAATTCGACAGTCACGCATCGCAGGGGGTTGTCGATTGCGAATAATGGTGCTGTGTCACGGATCACGGGGGTATCTGTCGAACTGCCCCAGCCGTTCGTCACGCCAAAACGCGTCGAAGAGGCGCAAAAAAGCTCGATTTTGACGAAAATTCCGGTTCGTTTGTCGAATTTTCGGTCTGGTCACGTAAAATTTGGCGCGTGTCGAATTGTCGAATTGGAAAATTTGCATCACAGTCACACCCCCTGTCGAATTGATTGAAATAATACAGTATGACCTAACCTCGGGTTGAACGAGGGACTTCCACATACTCATAGAGGAGCTCTTCGAGGGGGAGTGGATGCGATAACAATTTCGCCATTAGACCTTCCTGGTATACTTCTGCGCCATGTCACAGCGAGATCGTTTCATGCATTTTGTGTGGGTTGGATAAGAAAGGTAGCAAGAGCGAAAGGACCTAACCTCGGGTCGAACGAGGGACTTCCACTTTGATTCATGTGCTTGTTCTGGCCCAAGTGCAGTGGACGCGATTCCAATTTCGCTATTAGATCTTGTTCCTAGAATACTATTGAACCTTGATTGAGGGAATAAAAAAGATATCACACGCCCAGGCCACGACCTAACCTCGGTTCGAACGAGGGGTTTTCACATAATGCTGACTACATTAGGGCAGGTTGGATACGATCCCCATTTCGCTATTAGGTCTTCTTGCTATAAGTCTGCACCAAGCTACAGAGAGATATAATTTGGTGTGAGGTGAAAAAAGAGGAAGCACGGACGAGTCAGGACCTAACCTCGATTCGAACGCATAAATGGGTTTTTACCATAATTGGCCCGGGTCATGTGCAGTGGATGCAACGCCGGATTCGCTATTAGGTCTTCCTTCCCTAAAATCATGAGCCCTGGTTTACTCCTGTTTTTATTCCAAAATTTAGTGGGGGAAAAAACAGGCGGGAGAACATGTTGAATCATGCATGACCTATCCTTGGTTCGAACGAGGGACTTCCCTGAGATTTGTAGCCAACCTAAGGGGAGTGGAGGCGATTCCAATTTCGTTATTAGGTCTTCCTCCCTTTCTCAACTTCGAGTATTGCAAAATTATTTCAGACTTTTGTGTGGGTTTGAATAAAAAATTGATAAAACAGAACAGTAGCAAAGGCCGAAAGACTTGACTTCGGTTCGAACGAGGGATTTCAACTTTGACTCATGTGCTTGTTCAGGTTAAGCGCATTGGACGCCATTCCAATTTCGCTATTAGGTCTTGTTCCAAGAGTACTACTGAACCTTAATTGAGGTAAAATATCTGAGTACTTCAGCGAGGGAATAAAAAAGATATCACACGCACAGGCCGCGACCTAACCTCGGTTCGAACGAGGGCCTTCCACATAATCATCAAGTAATGGTTGTACAAACGCAGTGGATGCGATGCCGATTTCACCATTAGGTCCTTGTGGGTATAATTCTGCACCTTGCTACAGTGAGATCACTTCAAACTTTCTGTGAGGGTTGAATGAAAAATCGGCTGGAATGTTCACGGCGTAGTTCAAAGGAGCCAAACAGATTAGACACAATTCCCTATTATTAAGTCTTCCTGGTATAATTTTGAACCAGGTCCCATGCTGCAAATTTAAAAATACGACAGAGAAAAGAAAAAAGTTCGTGCAGATGGAAATATGACCCCACGGTTCGAACAAGGGACTTCCACATACCTTAGACGCGAAGGAGATTATTAAAGGGGGTGAATGCGATGCCAATTTTTCTATTGGATCTTGTTCATATGAATCAGGACTTGGGATGGTGCATGAATCAAGCGTGATTTCTTTTTTTTGCGCATTTTGCAGGCAGTTTTTTTTTTTGCCTAGATTTTGCCGGTGAGAGAAAGAGAAGAAGAGAAGTGCAGCAATGGCATGAGCCAATTAGCACTAGTAGACGATAGATGCAAGTTGAGCCGGCGGGGACGGCCCGTAGAGCTGACATAATCCGCCACGACCAAACAAACCAAAGCTTGATTTGTTCCGCCGCTTGTGATTCTGCAATTTGGAGACTGGTGGACCTGCGTTTGTATATCTATCCGGCATCTCGAGTTCGCGTCTCTGGCGACTGGTGGTCGCGCGTTCTTGCGTTATCTATTCGGCGCCTCGGTCCATCTCCACGGTTCTTGCCGGCGCGTGAAATACTCGCTCTCCCCTGTCCCCCGCGGCGCGCTTCCCTTCCCTGCCTTCCTTCCATCCCTCCGCTCGTACCCTTCTTGTCCACGCCCCGTACTCTCCCCCTCTCGTAATCCTCCCCGTCCTTGCTTTTACTTCCATCCCCCTCCCGCGCGCCTTCTTTATACCCCAATCGTTTCTGGATTTGGGAGAGGCGGGAAGAGAGCTTCTCCGTCTTTGTGTCATAGCCCGCCCTTCTTCTCCCGCTCTCCTACTCTTCTCGCATCACACGCACACGCACACTCCCCCTTCGTCTCCTTCTCTGTTCTTCTCACTCCCCCACCGTCGTCTTCTCCGCCGCCGTCCTGGGAAAGCATGCGTCTTTCCGTTCCCCCACTTTCACCTTCATCTTCACTGCCTCTTTTCCTTCACCGTCTTGTGCTTGTTCACTGCTCTTTCCTCTTCGTCTTAGTTGGCTTCTCCCTCCTTCTTACCCTCCTATTCTCGTTTTCCCAAACTAATTCCGTTAATTAACCCGCACCCCTCAGCAGCCCACCTAAACGGAAATCGGCGTCGACGGCGTCCCACGCTACCGCGGCGAGGCGGAAGAGGTGCTCGCCGCGAGCATCGGGCTCGGCCTAGGGGATTTGGGCTCGGGGTTGGCGAGCGTGGTGAAGCCGAAGGCGAAAAGGGCACGGGGGGGCGGGGTGCCGAATTTGAAGGGGAGATGGCGCGGGACAGCAGCGCGGCGGGTGGGTCGTGGTAGGGTGTGTGGACGGGGAAGCAGAGGAGGCGCGCGGAGGCGGCGCCGTCGGACGACGACAGCGATGATGACGCGGGGGCGGATGCGGACGCGGATGCGGAGGAGGGTGGGGGGAGCAGTGGGGAGAACGAGAGCGGGAGCAGCGTGACGCCGACGTTGACTGCGAACGCCAATCTGGGGCGCGAGGTGGCTGCTGCGCCACCGTGCGCGCGTGCCCGGGTGCAGGCTACGGGGAAGCGCAAGGCAGCTGACGACGAAACGGGTGGGCCGACAGTCTCGCCTACCTTGGCCTCAAGCACTAGCTCCACGGCGCCACCGACGTCGGTAGGGCGCATGGACAGCGCGGCGGAGTCGGCGGGGTTGTTTGAGAGCGCGTGCACGTCGCCGCCGCTGTCTGCGTCGACGGCGTCTGGATCTCCGGTGAGGCCGCCGTCTGCTACGGCGACACCGACGCCGACCCCGACGCTACTCCCCGCCCACGCCGCCGCCCGCGTCGTCCTCCTCGCTCGCGGCGGCGGCGGCGGCGTACGCAGCGACGTATACGCGGAATGCGGGGAGGCAGGGACAGACACCGCATACCAGCACGACACACGGGACGCAGATACCCCATAACGGCACGGCGCTGACACTGTACAAGGGCGCGCGGGGCCAAGCGAGGCGCAGACGGGGCAGTATGCATACGCGTATCCCAGGAGTACCCGACGCACCCTCGACACGCACGCACAGGAGGAGGCGAGCGGTGATATGGTTCTTCTTGTCTAGCTTCCCTGGAGTCTCTGTGCATACCCTTCTGCGAGCCTTGTTCTGGTTTCTGCGCCCTTTTTTCTTAGGCGCTGTGGCTTCACAGTCCGGGCCGCATCTACCAGGAACTGTTTCTGGAGAAGTTTTTTCTCTTCTTACTGGCGGCATTCTTTGGGCGGCTTCCGGCGACGCACTTGGACATTCCGGCCGCACCTCGGCTTTCTTTTGCTCTGGTCCCTTTCCACGCGGTCCGGATGCGTGGTCTTTTTCGGACTGCTTCTTTGTCGACCTTGAAACGACTTAAGGTCAACATCTTTGTGCTCTCGACGTCCACGAACCTGGATTGCGCGTCCAATTTTCAACTTGATTATCCTCGTTGGATATGGAGACAACAGGGAAGGCTTTTCATGCTTGATCCCCCCCCTTGGAACCGTTTACGCAAGTGCTCTCTCGCTCTGATTACCTATGCATTCCTTCCTGGCTCCGATCCCTGTCTTTCTGCGAGCCAATCCACCATCTCTTCTGTGCACCTCGAAGCATCTCCGTTCCAAGGCTCGCGTTATGTGTTGATGCCAACCGTATTTTGACTGTATCTTTTTTTCGAATTTTCTGGCTCCCGCTTCGATGCTATTGATATTGACCGTGAAACATCCAAAGTCCTCGCGCCTACTTAGATTTTGCGGTGCATTTTCTGTTGCAAAAAAATTCTGCGCGCTCCGCGGGTACACCGTATTTTGCTTGGTCGGATATATAGGATTGGTTTCGCAAGTGTCTGGAGTTCAAAATGTAATGTTCCGCGCGCCAACCGTTATTGGGGCTCCGTTAATTTTGACGCATCATCATGCAGACGAATCATTAATCTTTCGGCGTCCACTGAGTTCTTCAATGGCCTGCACCACTAGCATGCAAATTGGTGCATTTTATTTTCCTTCCCTTCATCGTCAAGCAGACATTCACTTGCCCTCCGCTGCCGTTTCAGCATAAAACGATGTTATAAGTTCGCGAATTTTTGAGACCTCGTCTGGTAAATATCGAATATCAATTTGACATCGACAGTTTTCTTCGCCGTGCATCTTTAGGACAGGGGGTCTGGGCACGGACAGATTTTGTAAAGATATACAACAATATTGGTTCTGCAATTTCTACGGAAGGGGGCCTTGACAAGCTTCAAGGTGATGGAAGACCTCCGCTTGTAACAGTAATAGTGGGGATGGAAAGAAATATTGCATGATAGGTCGCCTTTGTTGTGAGCGTACAAACGACACGCAAAGATGCCAGAGTACAGTGAGATCGTACAATAAGTGCATTGATGTTGGGAATGGCGTCATCCAGGCTCGTAAGGTGTTGGAGAGCGGGAGTGGTGAGTGCTTCCACAACACAGTCACAGCGAAACTATCGAAGGGCAGCGGAATGCTGCAATATCCAGTTGAAGTCAGAAAGTTGGCGGAAATGCTTGTAAACTGCGACCATGGCAGCTGAATCTCGGACGGCCCAAAGGTATTGTAAAGGGCGACCTGCGTTAAAAGCGGCGCATTACTGAACAGCGATATTGCATCCAGTGAGTCGGTCTCTTTTGCATAGTGGGTGGGGCCCAAAGTCAGGGAACGGAGTAAGGGGAAGTCTGCTCCAATCAATCGAAGTGATCCAATGGGCAGATTGAAGTCGATGTATTCCCAGCGCTCGGAATGAGGTATGAGGGCTTGGATGAAATCAACGTTGAGCAGCCAAGTGGAAGATTGCAGGCAAATTGATAGAGGGCAATCTTTGGAGCGTAATACCCAAGTTCTGAGTAAATCCAGCGCCATTGTCGGAGACGTCGTAGGAGGACTCAATTTGATAGCTCGCCAGAGTCGCGGCGTGCTGAGCGCGATTTCGCGCCACGCCCGACAAATCTGGGCAAGAAATTCCGGGGAGGTGAGTCCAGTGGCCGGTGGGCGCTCAGGATAAGGTGGGAGGAAATGGACAAATATTTCCGGCGTGATTTCGGTGGGAAGGGTAAGGATGGGGTATTTGTAAGCATCGAGACGCGTCTGCAGGTCCTGCCGCTCCAACCTGACAGCGTCGAGAGCTTGCTCCAGCACCAGGATCTGGGCATCCAAGTCGGTCATGCGTTCCCGAATATCTGACCGGGTGGATCTCCCGTTTGAAGCGCTTTGATTCCGACTTCGCTGCGTCGTATCAGAGAGCGGAGAGTCAAGATTAGGGTCGGTCATGGTCTAGTAAAGAGCTTAGAGCCCAGTGGAGCCACTAATTGAGCCCTTCCTGTGACTGTGCTTCACCAGGTCGTGGCGCTATACAAGCACTTGTGTACTTATGTTATGACATCCTACGTGTTTTCCATCAGCTTGGTTCCTTGATGTCTTTAATGTTCTTTCTCCCCGTCGCCATTCAGACATCCATTCGGACTCCGCTGTTGTATGTCGTCATAAAACGATATTCGAAGTTCGCCAACTCTGGAACAATACGAGAAAATCGGCTTGATATCGATAATTTTCTTCGCGGTACATCTTCGGGGGGGTCTCGGTACTGATATATTTTCTAAGATCTAGTACAATATTGGCAGTTTATTCAGTAATTTCGACGGAAGGAATCTTGGCAAGCATCAAGGTGATGATAGACCTCCGCTTGTAACAGTAACAGTGGGAATGGAAGGAAATGCTGCACGATAGGTCGCTTCTGTTTTGCGCGCTTCAAGGATGCGCAAGGATGCCAGAGTACAGTGAGACCGTAAAATGAGTGCATTGACGTTGGGAATGGCGTCACCCAGGCGGTCCGGGATCATAAGCTGTTGGAGAGCGGGAGTGGTGAATACTTCCAGGAGCTGTCGGTGACCAGAGCCACCTCCCAACTTCAGCGAGTGAAGATGCCTCAGAGGCGCCACGGGCAATACATTCCTATTAGCTGCACCGTCGAGATCGTCGCAGCGAAACTCCCGAAGGGCAGCGGAATGCTGTAAGATTTTGGTGCATTCAGCGAGAGACAAGCAGTAGGCGAAAATGCTCGTAATCTGCGACCATGGCAGTTGAATCTCGAAAGGCCCAAAGGCATTGGTAAGAGTGACCTGCTTTAAAAGCGGCGCATTACTGAACGGCGATATTGCAACCAGCGAGTCGGTATCTCCCGCATAGCAGGTGGGGCCCAAAGTCAAGGAACGGAGTAAGGGGAAGTCGGTTCCAATCAATTGAAGTGATTCTATGGGCAGTATGAAGTCGATGTGTTCCCAGCGCTCAGAATGAGGTATGATGGCTTGAATGGCATCAACGTCGAGCTGCCCGGTGGAGCATTGCAGGGAAATGGATAGAGGGCAATTTTTGGAGCGTGATAACCAAGTTCTGACTAAATCCAGCGCCATGGTCGGAGACTTCGTTGGAAGACTCAAATTGATCGCTCGCCAGAGTCGCGGCGTGCTGAGCGCTATTTCGCGCCATGTCCGGCAAATCTGGCCGAGTATGTGCGGGGAGGAGAGACCAATGGCCGGTGGGCGCTCAGGGTAAGGTGGGAGGAAATGGACAAATATTTCCGACGTGATTTCGGTGGGAAGGGTAAGGATGGTGTATTTGTACGCGTCGAGACGCGTCTGCAGGTCCTGCCGCTCCAATCTAACGGCGGCGAGAGCCTCTTCGAGTGCCAGAATGCGCGCATCCAACTCTGATATGCGCCCCCGAATATTTGACCGGGTGGATCTCCCGTTCGAAGCGCTTCGATTGCGACTTCGCGTCGTATCAGAGAGCAGGGAGTCAAGATGATCAGGGTCGGTCATGGGTACCGAAACTCCTGTGAAGAGCTTAGAGCTCAGTAGAGCAACTAATTGGGCTCCTACCTGTACTTATTGTTCAGAAGATCGTGGCAACAGAGAGAGTGGCAGGAGGCGATGCACTTGTGTTTGGTATCTATCCCACGTGTTACCCAAACTAAGTTATGCATCGGTTTGAGTCCCGGCCTCAATCCAAACAACGCGTCCTCGTGCTTTCTCCCCAGATCCCATTATCTAGTGTCCTCTGCACGTATTTCCAGAGCCCCTCCGCCCTTATTGAGCTCCGGCTCCTCCCGGGTTTCCGGCGTTTTCATTCCTGGTGCCGTGATGTCATCGCCACGCGCGCGGCGGGCCGCAGTTACCGCCTGCGCCGAGCGGAACCGTCTGAATTTCATTAATATAATTTCCGGCGAAGATTTTCTTCTATAGGCCGCATTATACATTCTTTGCATGCCTTCTGGCGACAAACTGGCACATTACAACTCTGTGTTCTCTTGCTCTGGCCCCTGGGAGTTCTTTGCCTCATAACATTTGTCAAGTTCATGCTGACTGTGGGTTCTGTATCTTTCTGCGGATCGGGATACTTCCTAAAGATCAAATAATCGAGACTCGCTTGCGCTGCGCATCTCATTCCTGACACACAAATCTAATCAAGTTCATGCTGACTGTGGGTTCTGTATCTTTCTGCGGATCGGGATACTTCCTAAAGATCAAATAATCGAGACTCGCTTGCGCTGCGCATCTCATTCCTGACACACAAATCTAATTTAATTTCAAGGCGTATGTGATACTAGTCTCACCAGTATATTAAATGTTCGACTACGATGCGAAGTTTTATTTCCAATTTTCTCTAAGCTCAAGAGTGACGCAATTTCATTAGTAGACCCTCCCCACCACTCCAGATCTTTGCGGCTACAATTTTTTAACCAATGTCGGACCATAAAAAATTCAAACGGTATCAACCTTGGCCACTCGAGAATTGAACAATGAGAGGAATGCGCCGTGGATGCAGTGATACCAGTTTCACCAATAAACAATCTTTTCTCTTTGGAGGGACAACAATGTGTTTGCTCCAGTTCAATATTTTCAACTTCAAAAATAATTGATTTGCTGAATTCACCGGAAGGACCTCTCCACCCTCACACGAGCTCACTTTCTTTCCCTAAAAAGATTTACCACAACTCTCAAACATGCTTGAACGGGAATTTCCACCCGCATCCAGTAGTGTCTATTCCCCGTCGACTAGGTCTTCCGCCTTTCTTCCCTTACACTCATTGCTGCAAAATCTTGAGGGAGAAGGAAAATGTGAAATGTGAGACATGGACAATGACCTAACCTCGATTCGAACGACGGAACTCCACATGCCATACACTTAAGGGTGCGTGCTTATTTCAGGCTTTTCGATGGGTTGAAAAATAGAAGGATTTCGGCGAGCAACTCACGACTTAAGCTAAGGTTGAATGAGAGACTTCCACAAAGGCATATCTCGGCGCACTTAAACCAAGCGGGAACGCGGTACCATTCTCGTGATCTCACTACTTATTTGGCCTCACTGGAAAATTTGAAAGAGAAGAGAGAAAAAAAGGTCGAGCAGTTGACCTGACCTCGGGCCAAACGAGGGACTCCCACAACGGCTCACGATTTATTTCAATGACAGTGGACTGTGGACACGATTCCATTTTTGCTATTAAGTCTTGTTCCTATATTCCTGCACCGGCGAGATTTCTTTTGGTATGTGAAAAAAGAGATTGCACACCTCAAGGACCTAACCTCGATTTGAATGAAGGACTTCCACATAGCCAACATGGCCTGTGAATTGGGAGTGGATGCGACGCCATATTTCGCTATTAGGTCTTCTTTCCTTTTACTTGTCCTTGGATAGGTGTGATTGTTTCGGGTTTTAGTCTGGGTGGATAAAAAAGAACGGAAGTCATCGGCCATGACCCAACCTCGAGTCGAACGACACAGCGGTAATTCACGAAGCAGAGGGTGCGAATTTCCCTATTCGGTCTTCCTCTGCTTTACCTGCCCTTGGATAGGTGTGTGCTGGTTTTTGGAATTTTTGTGTGCCGAAAAAAGAGCACCGCATCTGGGCGATGACCTCACCTAGATTCGAACGAAGGGCTTCCACAGAAACCGTTGGATTATTTTTCAACGGCAGGATGCGATACCAACTTCGCTATTAGGTCTTGTTATTGTAATTCAGAACCTGGTTTACTGCGAAATCATTTCAGCTTCTGGGTGGGTTGAAAAAAAAAAAGAACAGCCCCTGAAGGGCCTAACCTCGGTTCGAACGAGGGATTTCCACATACACACCCGGGACAGAGTTATTTTGACCTACGTAGAATGGTGGGGTAAAAGTTTACATTTTTATGAGCCTTTCAAATATGTAAAAAGTTTTACTATTATTTTAAATGAAAAGGTATAAAAAAACGGCAACTTTTTGCGACACTTTCGGCAACTAAGAAAAGATCTACTATCTGGTTTGGAGACCTCGAGGCAGGTGCGACGTTGGCGTCGCAGGAGAAGAAGTGGTTCGGCGACGTGCCGCCAGACGAGCGCGCCGCATTCGACAACATCTGCAGGTCCTGCTCCCTCGATGCCCTCAAGTCGATCGGGCCAGACAAGTACCCCCCTCCCTGGCGGCAGAAATAGCTACGCCAATGAGCTGGCCCATGGTCCCACTATTGCCGCTCCGTTCGTTAGGGAGCTCAATGATGCGGCGGCCGCGGGCGGCGAGGAGGCAGTGGCCGATACCGCGCTGAGTCTCATTCTTATGCTGGATCAGATGCCGCGCAATATATTCCGCGCGGAACAGAGGGTCACATACACGCACTACGACTGCCTGGCCCGCTGTGTGCTGCGCCACGTACTTTTTATGGTACCGTGCGCGGATCTGCACACGAAGTACCTCGCCAGGCCGGTATACCGGCTGTGGATTTACATGCCACTGATGCACTCGGAGTTCTTGGAAGATCACAAGACGTACGAGAGGCTCGTCGGAAGGCTGGTGGAGGAGCTAAGTTCGAAGAAGGGCGGGGATGCAGCTGAGTTGGCATATGCGAAGATGCAACTCGACTATGGGCGCAAACACAAGGAGTTAATCCTGAGATTCGGGAGGTTTCCGTACCGGAATGGGGACCTGGGACGGAAGAACACGAAGGAGGAGCAAGAGTGGTTGGACGCAGGTGGTGGGACGTTTGGGTCGGAGAAATGAATGTTATGTAGATCGAATCTTGATCAGGTCATTCGAGTGAGGTTATCGGTAAGTTTTTGGAGCTTAGCTTTCGATCATAAATTGATTCGCGCTCGTTGAATCCCACTCCCAGGGTTAAGAGAACTGCCGTTTCCCCGAGGGTCCTAGGATATGAAACACGGTAAAATAAAAGGGCTACAGGCCCCATGAAGCGCCTGCGAATGATTTCCCGGAAACGTGGTTCAAGTAAACCTCAATCGAGTGGGAATTTCTGAGTGAGAAGAAAAATGGACTTGAGTATGCGCTCACCATCTAGCCTCGGTTCAAGTTCGAGCGAGGGACTTCCACCTAATGCCGACTAGATCGAGGTTAAGCGATGTAACCAATTTTGCTATTAGGTCTTCGGGCTCAAAAAAAAAAAAACACTGGAGCTGGACGTGACCTAACCTCGGTTCTAACGAGGGGCTTCCACATCAACATTGTTTGCCCCCATGGGGGGGTGGTAATGGTACTTTATGGGCCAGGTACAGTGGATGCCATGGGCTTCGCTATTAGGTCTGATTCCTCCTGTGCCCTTGAACCTAAACTAGTTTCAGGCTTTTTGTGTCGATGGAACAAAAGCTTCAGGAAGATTTCAGTGAGGCTGGCAACTGATCCTGCACACTGTGTTCTACCCCGCCTTTCTCCTCTTATTGTGTTCCTGGTTTTATGCGAGATTTTTGCCGCCAGCTTGGCAGTGATACTTGCCAATGGTGATTGATTCAACCGGAAATCAACGTTCCCACCGCCTTCGAGTCCACCCCGCACCATTGATTTTACTCATCTCCATGTTTAATCACCAGGAAAAAAACCTGGCATAAGCTGTCAAATGGCAGGAGCCCGAGTCGATCGAGCACTTTCAGTCAGACTTCGATTGACAATGAGTCCTGCTGCACACCGTGTGCTACCCGCCTTCCTCACCTTGATAATTCCCATATTTTATACCATTTCTAGAGTTGTTGAGCCTGTGATGCAGCACTTCTTGTCTGAAAAAGGGGGTTCAACCACACGCTTGAATTCACATTCAAAACGGGTCGGTGCGGAATGGTTGCCAGCCCGGCGCTGATGAAGCAATACTCCCTGCGTTCGTCTGTCCCTTGGCATAAAAACAAAAACAAAAAAAATGCTCCATATGAAGCCGAATGGCGGGTGCCCGAGTCGAACGGGCGCCTTCAGGTAGATTCCAGTGCGGCGAGGTACTGATCTCCGATGCACACCGTGTGCTACCCCGCCTTCCTGCTTTTAATTTTTATCCTGGTTTTTGCAAGACTTTTTGAGACTGGCGCCCGAAGACTTTGTCCGTGAGGGTGATTCAACCACACTTTTAGATTCAGATTCAAATCGATTCTGTACGCAATATTTTCCTGTCCAGGGTGGATAAAGTATTAGTATTTCCAGTGTTGGCGTGTCTCGAGGCATAGAATAAAATAAAATATTTTTTTATGGAACTCATAGCGGCCCGAGTCGAACGGGCCGCTATCGGGGTCGTTACCTTCTCAAGATCTCATGTCTCACGTAAGTAGATTCGATGCACACCGTGTGCTACCCCGCCTTTTCCCCTTCATTTGTACCTGCTTTTATGCAAGATTCTTTGAGCCTGTCATGTGGCAATTTTTGTCTCCAAAAGGAGGTTCAACCATATGCTTCACGCAAAATTCACACCGATTCTGTGCGTAATATTTCTACCCCGGGTGGAGGAAGCTTGAAGCATTCGTGCATTTGTGTCCCGTGGGATAAAATGTCAATAAAAATGAAAAACTTATTCAACAGTTATGGTGGGGGCTCGAGTCGAACGAGCGCCTCCAGGAGAATCGGACGTCAAATAGTCACCCTATGGCGATTCCTGCTGCACACCGCGTGCTACCCCGCCTTCCAAGTTCTATTTGCTCGCTTACTTTATGCGAAGAATATTATCGAGCCGGGGGCGGCTGTTCAAACTACACAATATAATTATTATTGCCGCATTCATTTCTGCGTTGAATTTTCGTGTAAGTGTGCGACTTGACGCTTTCAAAGTCAAGCGTGGGGTGATGGTGTGATTTCAGCACATCTTGTCCTCATGTTCACTTCCATGTCTCCTCACTAGAAAAAAAAATGGTAGTGTGAAGTTCTGAGAGAACAGGGGGAAGAAAAGTCAAGAAAGCAGAAGGACCTGATTCGAACGAGGGACTTCCGCATAATTGCCACACTTTTTCTCTTAAGTGCAGTGGACACGATGCCGATTTCGCCATTAGGTCTTCCTCCCCTTTACCTGCCCTTGGCGAGGTGTGTAATTATTTCGGTGTTTGTGTGGGGTGAATAAAAACGGCATTGGAAGACAGAAGGACCTAACGTCAATTCGAACGAGGGACTTCCATTCATCACGCCGAGTTCTCCTTTTAGGTGTACATAGTAGACGCGATGCCGATTTCGCTATCAGGTCCTTCCCCTGCCCTTTACTTGTTTTGGAAGAATGTGAAGTGATTTCGTTATTGGGCGTGTGGGGTGTGAGTTGAACATGACCTAACCTCGATTCGAACGAGGACCTTCCAAAGGGTGTGGACGCGATACCAATTTCGCTAATAGGTCTTCCTCCTTTCTTCCCCAACTTTGAGTACTACATAAGTCTGAAGATGGAGAATTCTTTTGTGCCGAACAAAAAAAAAGCTCTGGGGGGGATGCAGCGCGCCTAACCTTGATTCGAACGAGAGCCTTTCACATAAGCATTAATTATATCCTCGCACCAGTGCAGTGGATGAGATTCCAATTTCGCCATTAGTTCCTTGAGGGCATAATTCTGCACCTTACTACAGTGAGCTCACTTTAGACTTTATGTGTGGGTTGAATAAAAAATCACCTCGAATGGATCACGCGGAGCTGACATAATCCCGCCACGACCAAACAAACCAATGCTTGATTTACTTCTTCTCCGGAGACTGGTGGACCTGCGTTGTATATATTTATTCGGCGCGACTGCGTTATATATCCGGCGCCTCGGTCCATCTCCACTGTTCTAGCCTTTCGCTTTCCCGACGCGCTTCCCTTCCCTGCCTTCCCTCCATCCCTCCGCTCACCCGTACTCTCCCCCTCCCGTATTCCCCTCAACTCCCGCGCGCCTTCTTTATACCCTCCCGCTCTCCCGCTCTCCTCGCATCACACGCACACGCACGCTCCCTTTTCGTCTCCTTCTCTGTTCTCACTCCCACATCGTCGTCGTCGGAGAAACCATGCATCTTTCCATTCCCCCTCTTTCACCTTCATCTTCACTGCCTCTTTGTCTTCACCGTCTTGTGCTTCTTCGCTGCTCTTTCCTCTTCGTCTTAATTTGCTTCTTCTCCCTCTTTCCTGCCCTACTACTCTCGTTATCCCAAACTAATTCCGTTAACTAACCCCCACCCAAAACAGAAATCGGCGTCGACGGCGTCCCACGCTACCGCGGCGAGGCGGACGAGGACCCAGGATCCGTGTCCTCGACGTTAGGTATGTCCTTCCCCGCGGGCCCCCTCCACCTGCGTCCACCCCCCGCCTCTCCTCACCCCGCGCCGCACTGCCGCACCTTCTCTTCTCCTCTCATCCCCCCTCCCCCCCTCGTCGTCCTCGCCCCACTTCGCCGTCCCCGAACGAGCGCTAACCTTTCTTTCTCTGTCTAGCTGTCTTTGTCTGTTTCTGTGGCCCACCCTTCGAGAGCGAGTGCGCTTGCGCTCGGGAGAAGCAGCCCCGTACAAGCATCACGAGCCCTCCTGCGTGGAGCCCTCGAGAAGGAACGGCGCGTCGTTTTCGTTGCGGATCCGGGGCCGCCGCCGTCCTCGGGAGGGCGGCACCATCTCGCATCCCCGTCCGCCAATACGCTTTGACGCGAGCCGGACACGCTATGTTCGGTGTGGGTCGCACCTCTTCGTCTTCGGCGCGTAGGAAGTTAGTCGCGCGCCGTCGCCCACGGACACTCCACTCCGAGTGCGCGCCGTCCCGTGCCCGCCAGCACCGCGGGTTCCGGCTTGGAGCTGCATACGCGCCGTCGCCAGCGGCGCGGACTTGGAGAGGCGTTACACCCTGCCACGTTCTTCTTCTGCCGCGGGGGCGGGCTGATGATGATACGTGCATGCTTCTGCGCCGCGCGCGCTCGCCGCCTTCGACGGATCTGCCGGCACCCCGCGCGTTCTTTACTGCCCCCACCGGTACCCCGGTTGTGGGCTTGTAGCTGTGCGCGCGCTCAGAAAATCGTGCGCCCGGCACCGCGCGCCTTGGTTCTTGACTCCCCGTGGCTGCGGTACCGTGTTGCGCGGGTTCCGCGCTTTCGCCCTCCGCCACGCTTTACTCTGAGTGCGTTCGCCATTGGCCCGCCTGCGCCGCGCGCTCACAGACCTGCTCTACGCCTGACTTTCCTTCGCGGCGCGCCTATGTCTTGCCACGCCTCTGTTTGCTCCCCGCGCGCCTTCTTCCACTGCCCGTCGGTATCGCGGGTCCCGAGTCCCGACTTGGGGATGCATACGCCGCCGGCGTGGCCTTCAAGATACGCGCCGTCACCCCGCTCGCGCTTTTCTTCTGCTGCGCTCCGGTAGTGGAGACGCAGGCTTAGTGATAAGTGCGGGCTCGCAGATAACGAGCGCGCCGTCACCCCTCGTCTTTTGCTGCCCGTCGGCGCCGCGCACGCCTCTCTCTTCTGCTGCGCTCCAGTATTGCAGACGCAGGCTTAGTGATACGTGCGGGCTCATAGATACGACGAGCGCGCCGTCGCCGACGCACGCGTCTTCTTCCTCTCGTGTGGGACGGCGGCACCCTAGTCACGCGGGGCTCGCGCATTTACCCGCCTACGTGTCTTTTGCTCCCTGCGGCTTTGCGCCCGTCTTTTCCTCATACTGCCCGCCGGTATCGCAGGCGTGGGCGGGCTTTCCCATCCATACGCATGGGTGCCGGTGGGGGGCTTGTGCATACGTGCCGTCGAGCCTGCGCTCGGTGTCCGCGGCGCGTGTGTGTCCTGCGAGCGTGCGTATGGGGCAAGTGTGTGTGCTTGGAGATATACGCTGTCACTCGCGCGCCGTGTCTTTCTCCTGCTGTCCAGCGCGCAGGTGCCGGCGTGCGTGGGCTCGGCAGCTGCGGCGTGGGTTTCGGGATACATACATGCGCGCGCGCTGGGGAATCTTGTGGTCGTGTACCCGTGCTTTCGAGCCCGGTGTTGTCGAACCCGACCGAGCATGGCGCCTCGGGAGGGCAGGACCGACGAGGCGGTGGACGAGGGGGCGTGTGGGATGCGGTTGGTGGAGGGAGGAGTCGCCGAAGATCGTGGTCGGGGCTGAGCTGCTCGGGTGGGGGTGGACGATGCGAGCGCGCGGATCTTGATCCTGCGCGCGGTGTCGTCGACGTGTCTCCGCGCGGTGTCCGTGTCGGTGTCCTGCGCGGTCTCATAGGCACGGCGCTGCGGAGGGTCAGGAGGAAGTAGAAGTGGGAGTGGTGAACGTCTAATTCGCGCCCCCCCCCCCCCCCCCCCCCCCCCCCCGTGCCCCCCCCGTGCGCGTATGGGCGACCTGTACGAATGGGCTGCTTACTGCCGAGGCATGACGAGTAGAGCGCGCGGCGCTAGAGGCTTGCTGGCGAGGTGTAACAACCTCCTTGTGTTCAGGCTTGCGTGCGGGCTCGCCGTCAAGTCGTGTGGTTGCGTGCCTACGGGGGGTCGAGCGGAGCGGGGAGTGGGTACGTCGCGTCGAGGTGGGCGGGGTGACGTCGAGGCTGTGGGGGCGGGAACAGTGTCCGTGATTCGTGCGGGTATGGGTGCCCCTCCGCCCCTCGCCTGTCCGTGACGAATAGCGCGTGTGGGCCGCGCGCGCGTATGTGGTCGTCTGCGCCTGGAGACGATATAGGTTGGGCTGGCTACCGGTGCCCATCGGTGCCCGCGCGGCCGATTGGCGTGGCTTCCGGCGCTGCGGGCGTGGGGGATCTGCGGTTACGTTGGCAGGAGCAGGCACCTGCGTTGGCGCGCGTCGTCTTACTCCTTACTACGCTGTTCCCTACTTGTTAATATCCCCGTTTGTGTGATTCTCATGCATGTGACACTTGTGACTGGGCCGATCAGAATGAGATTATTTCCGCACCACTATCCTCCTCTGACGACCACCCACCACTACACACGCGCTTTCGCAGCATATCCGGCCACAATCCAAGTGTATACTTGATCGGTGCAACTCCCGGCCGCTCTAACAAACTTCCGAACTTTTCAAAATGTGCCGAGGTATGAGGAAATCGTTGAAAGCGCACATCATATATTCGTTGAGTGTCTAAAAAATTGCACAGCTAAGATCCGAGCACAACACTGCTCTTCTGCGCCACACGACGAGCCTTTTGGACAGATCTAATCTGTAATCGATAATGAATTAAATCCTACAAACTACTGCGCAACTCTTTGAGGATGGACAATGTTGGCCCACGAAACGATCCCAGTGCGGTGCAGCCACTAGTCACAATCCCCGGCACACAGCCGACGTTGGAATCTGGGGGAAATTGCAACGAACTTGCAACCCACTGTGGTTGAAACCAGCTGAAGACAATGAATGAATGCTAACGAACCTCAAGCAAAAACTCCCGAGTCATCCGCAGACATGCACAAGCTAATTCATATTTATTTAATTATTTGCTTCCTTTCTTATATAGACTTGAATCGAGCCGATGAGGTGTTATTTACCTGAGGTTTTCATTAGCGAAGTCGGTCATATCAATGGTATCTTTGTATCCTCATCAAAAATATCTACCACTATAAGGGAAGGCCCGCGCTGCACTTGAGTGGTTGTGTGGAACAAGGAAATTTTCCACAAATTCGTCCAGACTCCGTACCCGACCTTCAATACCGTAATCACCACCAACCCAAAATAAATCCCATCTAAATCAAATTATTGGTTGTATGGCAGAAGAATCTAGCAAGCTGGGCCAAATCCAAGACATGCTGACACTAGAGTCCGCTTACCAAATTCACCTGTGAAAGTGTCAAAATCCTGAGGATAAATATTGGTACTACGAACTACATCCAGGTGATTAAAAACCAAAGTTTTGCAACAATATTTGAATCCTGAGGCAAAGAAAAGATAACAGACACATGTTCAGCATCAGAATCTAAATAAAGGTGAGTCTTTCATGATGAAGTGTGAAGGAACTAGGATCACCACTCTAGATTCCCAGGTGGATAAATGGTACCCATCGTTCATGTGGCACTCCGGCATCCCTCATCTTTCGAACAGCAAGCTGCAGTGCTTTTGCAGCCTCAGATGCTCGAGGCCTTTGCCCACTGCCCAATAAATGGCTGTAGACAGTTTCCGCAACAACCGGTCCATCTTCATCCATCATGGACCACATGGTGGCAATGGCTCCTTGAAATCCCGCAGCAATGAAACCACCACCCAAGTGAAAGGACTCATTCACCAGGGAAGCATCTCCCTTAGCCGTCTGGCATGCAGCAAGAAATACAAATTCGGCATTTGGAAGGGACATCTGGAGAATGGTCTCGAGCTCCAAAGTTCCACCATAGAGCTGGAGGCAGCTTTTTGGAGGCTCTATGATGTTCTGCTCTCCATGACAAGCTAGGTGCATCCAAGCACAATCATTCA